TGTTAGTTACTGTCTTGCAGTGATTATTTGTTCGAACAACACACTAGGTTGCTACTCGATGGTAGGCTAACCGAAAGGTGTCGTAGCCTTTTTTGAGGTTCTGAACCAACGGAGCCAGTCGAAAGAAGATAGGAAAAGTTTTTTAGCCTGGTGCGGTCGGAGCGCTCCGTGCTACCAGTACCGCGCACAGTTCATATAAGTGAGCTCTAGTGACTAGCAAGGGCTACGGATGATCCCTACACCTTATTGGTAGGCCCCCCCTGGTGATCTTCTTATTGTGTGATGAATGCAGCAAATGAGTTTCACCTTCCGATGTCAAACCGAACCTACTGACTTATTAAGTGCGAGTCTTATACGAGGCAAGCGACCTCACAGAGGCTTGCTGTCAAATTATGGCAGCGACTGTCTCCGGTGCTGACTCAGAAAGAGTTGTAGGAGAAGCATGAGGTAGTGCAGTTTTTGATCACTGACAGCCTCACATACTTGCTCAGACAGAGGAAAGAAAACTGTTAGCCATGGCATGGACCTTTAAGTTCACTTCCTCGGCCGGTTCTATGAAAATCGTGTAGTGCAATTAAAGTGCCTTTGGCCCATGCATTGACTTACGGAAACAAATAACGATTATGTTCGAATTTCCACAATACTGGGATCGGCGAACCGATCCAAAGCCGCGAAACCAAAAACAGATGGATGTGATCCATTAAGGTGTATACCACGTCTCTAAGTCCTACGCTACCTCAACCGAAATTTAAAATTGTATATTCTCGTTGTAGGAGGCTTTGGAACTGGTATGATGGCTAGTTACAACAATTGGAATTGATTTGTCGTGATTTGCTCAGCTTCTCATGACTTTTTTAAGCTGCTATGGATTTCAGACCATTCAACACTGCCTACCGACATGGTCTCCCCACGAGCCATTGCTGGCATGTCCTTTTGTATTCGCTTGTTCATTTTGGTGAGTCCAGATCGATCGTTTCTCTGACCTCAAGAATATCTCACGTTGTTAAGTGCCTCACCATAGTGGCGATGATTTTGATTCTGGTAGCACCAGGAGCTTGCTTCTCACGATATCTCAACGGTCAGCCAATCAGTAGAGAGATATGTCCAGGTAATGCATGAGTAATCGATAATTTCTTCAAACCATGTATTTCATTTGTAATTTTTTAAAGTCAGTTGCTCTCAGGTCAAAACAGCATATTTCCGATGAACGCAGATCGTTGGAGTAATGCTTTGCATTTTCAAGGACGAGGTGAAAAGTAAGTGTTTCCAGAAAAAAACCGACTTTTGAAATCCTAATCCTCAATTTTCACTCTAGTGTCTACGGTCAAGTCGCTTTAATCGTCGTCTCCCTCTTCCTTGCCTTGGTTACGGTAGGAATCAGCTGTGTTCATCTAGCCATTGGCAGCAATCTTACATATACGGTGAGCAAGTTTTTTTCATAGAGCGCTGAAGGAAGGGGTGTTAAGTGAGTTGGAGGGGGTGGCGGCCCAGCGGCGGCGCGGTTCCTCAAGCGCGATGGCACTAACGTAAGCTTGAGCCATGGGAGGAGAGTTCAGACTGTGAACAGGGTGGTCGTTTGTGCGATTCGCACCCAAAGTGATTAGCGTTTTGAGCTTACTTCCTAAGCTCAGGCTGAGTGCCCTCGCGCTCATGAGACCGCGCTGCCGTATAGTCCTCCCCAACTCACTCAGTAGCGAAAAGAGCGATGTTAAAGTGGAATTTCTCAGCTCATTTTACAAAAAACTTCCATTGACCTTCTATTTTTTTTTACAAGAGTGGCTTTAAGGACTGTTGCGCTGTGTTTTAAAATGGTCTGTATGTGCCCGTCTGAAGCACATTACACTTGCATACATATACACTCTGTATCGGAGGACGGGAAGAAAATCGGCGGCACACAACACACCGTAAGTGACGGCGGCGATGAAAAAAATTGACAATTGACCACTGACGAGGACATCGATCGATCGCTGTTGTATTCTACTGATTATCAGATAATCAGTCAAATACAACA